CTTTTCCTTCTATTTTCTCTCTTCTTGGGTTGACTTTTTTCAAGTTTGCCCTTTTTCCTCCGTTTTTCTTCATTTTTCAACCACTTTTTCATCTTCTTTCCAGATGGTGGACAATATTCCACATGATGGGGCTCCCCTCGAGATTCCACCCCAATTATCACCTCCGGTAGAGATGGAGGCCAAGCCTGAGCCCGAGATATTACCGCTGAGAGTATGCCCTTTCGATCCGGCAATATATCATCCTCAGACACGTACTGCCACCCAGGGGTATTAGGCATTTCAGAGAGTTCGCGCGACGCGTGCCAAAGGACCTTTTGTTGCGGGAGCCAGACTCCCATTTGTCCCATGGCGCCACCGAAGTATACAATGTATTCTCATGCTTTCTTCGTTTTATATTGCATTTCTTGCTTTAACTGTGTTCCTTGCTTCAACTATATGATTACACTGCATTTCTTGCCTATTGGTACATTTCTTGCCTTAACCACACTCTTGCATTGTATTTCTTACATTGCCTTTTATCTGCCTGTTCTCATATCTCTGTATATCACTATTCTGATCATAGGAGGACTCTCACTCCATCAGGGGCTACGGAGCCACGTCAGCGAGGGACTGGTATAGAGCTCCCTGTCGGTGTACGCTACATTTATCAATGAGGCTGGCTTCGTCCTGTTCTGCACTGGGCTATCGCGCTATCGTGAGTCGACCACTTCTTGGCGCATTGGTGGAGCGATGGTGGAATACCACCAACTTTTTCCACTTCTCCATCATTGGGGAGATGATGATGACTCCCTATGACTTCTCTATGCTTAGAAGCGTAGGAGTAGGGAGTGATTCGATCCCTTACGACATGGATATGAGTGAGTGAGAGGTCGCCTGGCTACTTCCTGGGAGTATGCCCACTCTCTTTCGATTTTGCCATGTTCACGAGCAATTTCCGCGGAAGAGAGCTAGAGACCCTAGAGGAGATTGAGCATTATGCCGAGTGCTTTTTGATGTTCCTCTTCGGTACCACCTTGTTTTCCAATAGGTGGAACACCGTAGGGCTGTATCTACTGAACGCTCTGGTGACCCTACCTCAGGTCCGGCTCTATGACAAGGGATGAGCTGGCCTCGACACACTATATGGCTATATGAGCTCGACATCCCGCAGGAGGAGAGACAAGATTGGAGGCTATTGGAGAGCCTGGGAGGTATGCTTTATATTTCTGCTTTCATTTTCCATCTTCCATTTCTGTGCTTTCCGCTTTTCACTTTCTGTACACTGTATACTGTATTCTTTACATCTATACACTGAGCACATCTTGCATCCTCTGCATCTATACACTGTATGCTCATTGTTGCCTTCTGCTTTCTGTATTCTACATTTTGTATTCTCGGTATTTGTACTTTGTATACTCACTGTTGCCTTTTCCTTATAGCTTTGGGTATATGCATATTTTCCAACCCTTGCTTTGGAGCCAGAGGTGGAGATACCCCCGTTGTACCGTACCCTCATCGGTATGATGACAAATGCTTACGTAGGACCCAAGAGACCTTTTCATTCTTCTACCGATACTTTGACATAGTGACTGCGGATGAGGTAACCCCAAAACTCACAGTTATTTTTGCTTCATCAACAATTGACGATGACTAACAACCTATATATTCCCTGTTTGTAGATCACTTGGCAGCTGTAACACCCGCCTTTTCCTTAGCTGCTACTTTTATGATTAATCTGAATTATGCATTTATTTGTGCCTTATATGCCTATTTTTATGCATTGTGTTTGTTAATAGATATTAGGGGTGAGCAGCGGACATACCGATCCGCCAAAACCGACCAAACCGAACCGATCCGCCGCATTTTGGACGGATGCGTGATGACGAACGGACGGTTGCGGATTGATTTTCTCCAATCCGCCAATTTGGTGGATGGATGGCAGATTTGAGATTCCTTTGGCCGCAACCGAATCGCCAAACCGCGAGTACCCTCAATAATTTATAAGACTTTATGTTTTTAATTTGTTTAAATATTTTGTTTGTATTTTCAATTGAAAAAGAGTTTAAATATTCTGTTGAAAAAAAATTTTCAACTTGAATATATTTTTTGAATTGAAAAAAATAAACATATTATTTATCTATATTTTTTGATTTTTAAATTTAATTCTAAAAATAATAAATAGAAAATATGATATATGCTGGTTGGTTTTTGTTTTCAAAAATATATATAGATGTAACAATACAAAGACTTACAATCTCTACTGCTGCCCTGTTTATGGTTTTGGTGGTTTGAATTGTTATTATATTTTAAAAATCACAGATTATAATACTTTATGTGGATTAATTATGCTGTGATTGTAATATGTGGATGAGCCATGTAATGATTGCGATATTTTAAAGTTTCAAACTTTCTTTTTTTAGATGAGACATACAGTGATTGTAATAGTTTTTTTAAGTCATTGACTGTAATACTTTCTTTTGTTTTAGGAAGTGCACAAGTTGAATTATGTTGAAAATTTATAAAATTTTAAACCGCTAAACCGATTCGCATCCATCTGCCAAACCGCTAATCCGCTCAATCCACATCCGCCGGATTGGCGGACGAATGCAGATTAATTTTCTCTAATCCGCCAATCTGGTGGAGAGATGGCGAATTGGAGGTTCTGTGGCCGCAACCGACCCGCGCCTACCCCTAATAGATATGTTCCTTTATGAAAAGACCTGTCTGATTCGTTAAATCGTAGAGTTATAAAATTAGTTAATGGACTAAGTGAGTAGGGTTGATTCACCAAAAATTAAGATAGGTAGTAATGTAATTAATTAAGTAATTTAAATAAAGTGACTCACACTTAACTAATCTAAGTTACATAAGTTACATATAGAGAGGTATACACACACACACACACACACACATATATATATATATATATATATGAGCTCAATATAAGGGAGAGAGAGATAGAAATCTGAGAGAGTTAAGAGTGTTCTAGAGTTGAGTGAGAGAGTAATAAGAACAAAAAGAGAAAAAGGGAAAGGTGAAGGAGAGGAGGAAAATTTAGAGCAACCTTATGAACTTTACTTAGAAAGGTAAGAGTTCTTCTTAAATTCTTGCATGAAGATGAATTGTCACCTTGAACTCATGGCGTTGAGAGAGAGAGAGAGAGAGAGAGAGAGAGAGAGAGAGTGAAGGGTTGAGTAATAGGAGTTGTATTATAACCCTAATAGAACAAACCCTTCCATACCCTTTTATATGTGGCATTACCCAAGCTTAATTACTTAATCTTGCATGACTTTAACTCAAATATCCATAATTTTTTTGAAGCATAAAATTAATATATGCAAATATCTTTGTTTTCTTGTTACCTATGAAGTTGTCAATGAAATTGAGGAACTCAAGCTTAAATCTTAATTCTATCCTTGGTTTGAACTTGGAACTGTTTATCTACTGTGTTTGTTAATTTTGGCATTTAATTTAATTGATTTTGGGTTTGAGTTTTGAGGAATTTGAAACCCAAAAAAAAAAAACAGAGCAAAAATTCGGTTCTGGAACACCCAAAACCGCATGTGCGGCTACGGAGCCTGCACGTGCAGAAAATAGAGGAATATTGGAGAGCATTCTTCTTAAAAAGCACCTGATGGCGCACATGCGGCTGTTTGGTGGCTTCAGTTTCACTTTTCTGTGTTATTTACCCCACTTTCGAATATCCGTTAACATGTTTCACACCTGTAATTGATGTCCATTTGCATTGCATGAGCATTTAACAAGAGTAAACTACATTTAAAGCAATCAATTCCTAAGTTATGGAACTAACTAGTTGGATGTTTGGTGAATTAAGTGAACAAAGCTTATATCTGTCTGTGTAGGTCAAACGCCTCATTCCAGTCATCTGTAACATGGACCTGACTGTGAGTAACACTGTTGTACAAATATGTTTAATTTCAATTACCTTTTCTTTGCTTCGGATTTATGCATACACCGAAAGATTCTTATGTTAATGAATGATAATTCTATCACTATTTTCATTGTTTACTGTGGCAACCCTGGCACCATTTGTATGATTGCAAATTTGTCAGTTCCATTTCATGGAACTCTTGTTTAATATGATGTTGGCTATCAAATCTGATCTTCGGTCTTCATGGCTGCCTGTTCGGTCTTCTAGATTGCCTGTATTTATTGCTTTAAACTATACTGCGTGATATGTTATGCTTCTCAAATGTCATATGAACCTGTTCAGCATGTGTTTTATTTTACATTATAATTATCGTTCAAAATCTCTTTATTCAGTTGTTATTCATTAGGCTCTAGCTCATATTTTGATATGTCATATAGGTGACCCAGCTCAGGAAAGGGCATAGTGACGTCGACCTTGCTTTGATTTTGTTAAGCTAACTTCTGTGCCTCACCACGAGGTTCCCATCTATCCGAGTTTTGAGGTGGCCAGTGTGCACCTTTTTGTAGCTTGCACATGTATTTTGATCAGTTATCACTGACATTATTTTGTTTTTAATGGGATTGACTTTTCTTTTTTTATTGTCTTTCGACAAACTTGTGAATGCATGATGTGTTTATGCATGTCTATATATATGTATATAGAAATATCTTTTGTCTCATGTAAATTCACAGCTCATTGGACATTTTGTCTTCTTATGTAATAGCCTCCGCTAGCCCCGTTTATTTTCTTAGTTCAGTCAGGCCTTCGGTAATCGCGGATTACTGGTTGGTCACGACACTAAACCTATAGGGGTGGGTCTGGGTCATGACAAAGTGGTATCAGAGCACGAGTTGTACCGCACACACGTGTCCAAATGAGCTATAGGATGTCCTAGAAGAGAAATTAGGGCATATTAGCTGCATGTGTGAGTGTGTGTGGTTTATCTGATGTGCCTATGTGGTAATAATTCATGTATAAACCTTATGTGTCCTATGTTTATTATCACTCTATTTACATATAGCCAATGGAAGAAACAAGACCTGCAGAGACATCCGAAACTTCTGACGCAAGAATGGATCAGTTAGAGTGAATGGTGGAGTTGTTGATGGAAGCACTAAGACAACAACCGAGACAACCCTTTCCTCCACCTCCTCCGCCACCAATTCTAGTGGAGCCACTCAACAACGGTGACATTATTACCCTGACACAAAAGTTTAATAAACTAAAACCGCCTACCTTTCCGCGAGGCCTTCAACCGCTCAAAGCTGAAGCTTGGAATTTGGAGATTGAAAAGTTATTTGAAGTGTTTCTGTGTACCGAAGAACAGAAGGTTCTGTTAGCAACTTTTACCTTGCAAGAACAAGCGAGAAGATGGTGGATGCTTGTTCGAAATCAGCAAACCGCCATGGCTTGGGCAAAGTTTAAAGAAGTTTTTTATGAAAAATATTTTTCACAGTGTGTGAGAGACCGCAAGGTGACAGAATTTGAGCAGTTGAAGCAAGGTACTATGACAGTAGCGAAATATGAAGCTAAGTTCACAGAGCTTGCGCGCTACGCGCCACATATGGTAGACATTGAGTATAAGAATGCCAGAAAGTTTGAAGGCGGTTTGGATGTTGAGGTTCTTGATCGAGTTAGTGTACTCAAATTAGAAAAATATGTTGATGTTTTGGATAGATCCATCATAGCTGAGGCGGATGTTGCCGCACTAAAGCAAGTGAAGGCACCGGTGATTGAATGGAAGGGTAAAAGACCGGGATCTAATTTCAAGAAGCATCGGAATAACTTCTACACTCTACTGAACAAAAGACAGAATACAAGATCATCTACTAGTTCAAGCCAAGGGACTGATAAACCCATTTGTCCAGAATGTGGAAAGAGACATAATGGAATTTGTCGCAGAATTTGGTGAATGCTTTCGTTATGGAAAAATAGGCCACATGATTAAGGATTGTCCTTTAGTGTCTCAAAGCACAAGCCAGTCTAGGGCTAACTCAACTGCATTAGTGTCAGCACCAAGGGTAAATTCGAAAGCAGCCACGGGGAAAGAAACTCTAAAGCAAGGATTGGTTTTTGCATTGGTACCGGGTGATGTGCAGACTATAGAGACGGTTGTGTCTGGTATTCTTCCTATCTGTTCTCAGAATGCATGTGCTAATTGATTCGAGAACTACTCATTCTTTTGTATCCCATGCTTTTTCTCCAAAACTACTTAGACCCTCGGAACCAATGGACTATGTGTTAGTTGTAACCTCTCCGGCGGGAGGAACTATGATTTGTGCATCTATATATCCTACATGTGAGATTCTTGTGGGAGACAGGAATTGTATGTGGATTTGTTACCTTTAGACATTACATATTTTGATGTTATCTTGGGAACGGATTGGCTAGCGAAATATTGTGCCACAATTGATTGCTCAACCAAACAAGTTGTGTTTCATTTACTTGAAGGGCCTGAATTTATATTTAATGGGAATAGTGTTACATCTCCCCTATATTTGATTTCCTCTATGACCGTTTGTTCGGTCTTCTAGACAGCCTGTATTTATTGCTTTAAACTATGCTACGTGATATGTTATGCTCCTCAAATGTCATATGAACCTGTTTAGTATGTGTTTTATTTTACATTAAAATTATCATTGAAAATCTCTTTATTCACTTGTTATTCACTAGGCTCTAGCTTATATTTTGATATGTCATGTAGGTGATGCAGCTCAAGAAAGGGCATAGTGGCGTCGACCTTGCTTTGATTTTGTCAAGCTAACTTCTGTGCCTCACCGCGAGGTTTCCATCTATCCAAGTTTTGAGGTGGCCAGTGTGCACCATTTTGTAGCTCGCACATGTATTTTGATCGGTTATCACTGATATTATTTTGTTTTTGATGGGAATGACTTTTCTCTTTTTATTGTCTTTTGACAAACTTGTGAATGCATGATGTACTTATGCATGTCTATGTATATGTATATAGCAATATCTTTTGTCTCATGTAAATTCACATCTCATTAGACGTTTTGTCTTCTTATGTAATAGCCTCCGCTAGCCCCGTTTATTTGCTTAGTTCAGTCAGGCCTTCAATAATCGTGGATTACTGGCCGGTCACGACACTAAACCTATAGGGATGGGTCTGGGTCGTGACAACAGCCTTGGGCGTCAATGTCTGTTGGAGTTAGGGACCAGTACGTCGGAGCCTGGGGGGCCTTCCGTTTTTAGTTTCTGCTGGAGGGCCCAGTTTGCTAAGCCTGGTGTAGACACCCTTTTCTGATCGTTCTCAAGGCTTGGATGCCATCGTTTGTACACTCGATGATTGTGCTTGTTTATGTTCATTTTGAGCGCCCGAAGTCTTTGGCGGAGCGCCTTGTCTTTGAGCCTCTAAACCTTATCTATTTTGTGCATGTTTTTGGACCAGGAGCTTGTTGCCTCTAGTCTGGAAGAGTGGGTGACCTGTCGGCCAGCCTCAGAGCCTGTCGACCATGGCATGTGCTTGTCAACTACCAGTGGTGGCCGACGATCGTTGGTCTCTTTTTCTAGATATTTATTGCCAGCTGTGCCAGCTGCTGCCCACTGAGCTGCATCTCCATACACGTGTATGGTGAGATGTTTCTAAGCTCAAGACTTGTTTTTCTATATATAGGGGGGTTCCTCTCCCATTTTGGAGGGTTAGCATTTTTAGAACAAAAATATCTCTCTCTCTAGAATTCTCTCCCCCTCTTGTTATTTGCACACATTTGCCTAGTTTCTCTTAGCTTTTGCATACCAACCCTTAACCAAATACTCTCACCTTTGGGCTGAGATAACTTGGGACCTTCTTTGAGCTCTAGAAGGTGGTTTGAGCTTGGATTACTGGCTATTTTATGCTTTGCTTCAAAGGTATAGCACTTACCTTGTTTCTACTTGCTTTATATGTTTTGCCATCCTTTTAAATTGTTTTAAGGCTGGTTTTGAAGTGTAAAAACCTCTGTTTTTACAATCTAAAAATGGTGGTTTGAGGCCCTTTTTAGTTAGGGGAGGTTCACCATTCTTGTTTTTTAGCTTGTTAAGCTTTTGTGCTATTATTCACCACTTTCAAAACAACTTTTTTTGACCTTTTAACCACTAAATCTCAAAGGTTTTTCAGTTGTAAAAATCAACTTTTGAAGTCCAAAATTGGAGGGGTTAGCCTCCCCTCCTTGTGTCTTGTTTACATGCCTAGTTAGCCTCACATGTTGGCTTATTATTTTAGCTTTTTATGGCTCAAGTCCAGCATGTTTTAAGCTCTGTTTTGACCTATTTTGGCTCTATTTTGTGCTGGTTAATTCATTTGAGCCTTGTATTGCATAGTTGTAGTGTAATTTCCTTCACTAAGTTGATGTTTTGATGCTTTAATCATAATTGTTTTGAGTTAATAGCATGTTTTAGTGTTGTTTTGCACTCCATTTCAGCACTTAAAATCTCTGCAATCTCCCTCCATTCTTCACTCTTTTGTTTGCTTTGAAAGTGGTTTTAAATCCGTTGTTTGCCTAAGTGTGAAATGGAGGTGTTACACCTAATGGTTTAATCCCTTAGGGGGTCCATTACCAACAGTGTAGAGCCTCTTTCATGCCCAAAGCTTCTTGGGGTTTGAGCCATCTTTCTATTAGAGGACAATCACCAATGGACAAATCAATTAAAGAATGGTTTTGGTATTTAAAATGAATAAACAAAATTGGACAAGTAAAAGAGGCAAGATAAGCATCTTTCATGTTGCATTGCATGTGTTCGAATCGGATGTTAATTCGAACATAAGGAAAATAGGACATTTCATACTCAAAAGTGATGAAATGTGCTACTTTCCTTGGTCACCAGCACCCTTGATCATGCATGATAGGGTGGTGGTCTTCTTGAGTCTTGTTTTGCACTCATAAAGCTTGTACAAACTTGGTTCTTTGGCTATCATGCATGGAAATTGTTTGATTGGTGGTTTGAGAGCCAAGAGTTTCACTGATTTGAGCTTGTTTGATGATAAGGAGTGTAAACAGTACAAACAAACTTGCAAAAGTACACTGTTTTGCTCTTTTGTGCTCTCTATTGTAGCAGGAAAGTCCAAACCAGTGGTGGCAGACAGCCACCACTAGTGGCCGACCGTCCACCTTTGTTGGCCGACTGACCATCAGTAGTGGCCGATCGGGCCCCTTGTCGGCCACTAATGAAATTCTGCAGAATGTTCTTGAGGTAGAACAAATTTGATCTGGAGAAGAGGAAAGTGTAAGTGCTTCTGTGCAACAGAGGCTTGCAGCAGCAAAACAGTGGCCATTCGGGTGGAATATCAAGCATGCATGCATCCCTCACTTCCTGAGGCCTTTTAGTTGCTTTGCTTAGTTAGTTAGTGGTAGCTAATTCATGCAAATGTTGTAATTATTTAAGTAGATTAGCTAGTTAAATCATGTTGTAATTAATTAGCTTAATCACTTTGTAATTAATTAGTTAAGTGTTTAGTTAATTAATTTGGGTTGTAATATTTAATTAGCTTAGAATAGTTAGTTAAATAGTGTTGCAATTAGCTTAGCTCTAATTAGCATAGCTAGTTAGCGCTTATTCATTCGAACCGTCCTTCGCGAGGGCGTAATGTTGTAATAAGTGTGTGTGTGTGTGTGCGTGTGCGCGCGCGTGTGTGTATGTCTTCCAACCCCAAGTCTTTCTCCCTTTTATTTAATCGCTTTTGATGGTTAGATTAGGGGCATATTTTAAATTAGTGTATCGCATGCTTACATCCATTCATTCGTATTGCATGCACCGAGGCTCGGCGCATCATTCAAACTGTATTGCAATTTCAATATCTTCTTTGAATACGCATTTAATCGCATGTTGTTCAAATCGATTCATATGCCATATTAGTAGTCGAGCCTATTAATTGCATATTACATGTGTTGCATTAGACATCTTATCATAGTTAGGATCATGCATCTTTCTAACTAGTTTCTGTTTTGGCTTGGAGTACTCGGTGAGTTTTTATGCTTTAGCATACTTGCATAAGTGTGAATGTTGCCCTGTCTAGCATGTTTTCCATGAGGCTATGTGCTTAAATACTAAACTGCTTGAATGCCTATGGATGAAGAGTTGTTGTTTGAATTGGGACAATTTAACGAATGTATGTTTTAAGCCCACTTTGTTGAGTGGAAAATCATGTTTTAAGTCCACTATGTTTGGTGGCAAATCTGCATCTTTTAAGCCCACTTGAGGGTGACAAATTCAAATCATTTTCGCAAACAAACATGACTTGAAATGTTCCAATTCTTGTGATGTAGTCTAAACTTGCTTGCGCGCATCACATAGTAAGGTTAGATTAATAACCGGAATAAGAACACATAATGTTTATAAAACATCATATCATGATTAGTAGAGGCCGATCTTTGGTCGGGGGTGCTCATTTCAGGACCTTCCCCTCTCGTACCAAGTTCCCGAGCCGAGGTAACTTTGGTGATGATGGACATGTGGTCTTTGGCACGAGTCAGGGTTTCCTAAATTCCCCAGAATAAAATATTTAGGTGCCGACTCTATATCTAGCAAAGCAGTCCAATTTTGGCATTTTGATTCAAAATCAGTTTTCTAAAATGATTTGCTGAATTTGGACTCTTTGATGTTTATCAGTTTCACATTGCACTTGTGAGATTAGATTCAGAACCACAGGAGTCTGAACTGTGAAGCCTTTCATTTCAAACCTTTCCAAAAGGCAGGGCGTAGAAAAAGACGAGTTCACAGTTTCTGGCGACTCTGCTAGGATTTAGGGAACTTGACTCGAATTCATGATATGTTATTTTATCTACAGTCATGTGTTTCGTTGCATTTGCATTTGCATCGGTGCGTCTAAGTCACAATGTTTGCCATCTGCTATTCTTGAGCGATTTGGCAGAGGCTTGCTTGGAAAAGCTTGCCAAAAGGCTGACTAGTTGCGGCCTC